AAAAAAAAAAAAAAAAAAAAAAAAAAAAAAAAAAAAAAAAAAAAAAAAAGCCCTAAATTTCTATGATTTTATCACCAAGTCGCCCATTTCCCCCTGCAACTTCAACCTCCATAACCGTGTGTTATTGCAAACGTTGAAAAAATGCTCACTTTTTTACCTCCTAATTTTTAGTTATCATACTTTTATTTGAAATTATTTGATTATCCATAGCTTTGCGATCAAAGTATTTAAGTAAATTCTTGTCAAACATCCCAAAGTTCCATCTTTATGTACCTAACTATAATTTGGTAGCTTCAAATATTACTCCATAAATAAATAAATCTACTCGAAATTATCATTTTAGTACGTGGAGTGAGACTCGTATCTAATAGGTTTAATAAACTTTTTTTTTTAATGTCAAATAGGATCAAAAATTGAATTCCATAATTTATTAGACAAATTATGAGTATTTACTATTTTTAACTTAATTATTGAGAAAAAAGAAAAAAAAATTGAGATCTTTGTTTATATTCTTTGTGAATGAATGATAATTTTACATTATAATAATTATTTGGTTCATTCTTATTCCAAATAATTTGGTGAGCAAAATGACAAATGTAAACTTAATTTAAAAGAAAAGCTCCAAAATGGGATGGAAAAAAGGTGGGCAAATTGGTCATTTTGACAGCTGTGATTTTCCATAATTGCTTTCAATGTCGTCCAATGGTCGGATCCTATCCATATCAACGTATTATCTTTCAAATAATTGATTTTTATACGCCACAAACAAAAAATAAAAATAATTAATCATTTGTGTTGATAGATAGATTTTAACTACTAATATTAATTTTATCGTCAGATCTCAATTAAAAAGAAAAACGAAACATTTATTGTGAGCGTATAAACATTTCTTAATAGATACATTTTAAAAAATCATAGCGAGACAAAATAGATAATATTTACTAGCGGTGGACTTAAATTATTACAAATTTCGTATAAATATAAAATGGTACAAAATTTATGGATAAAAATTTTAAAATATTTCTAAAAGTTTAAAGATTTATGGATCATAAAATAAAATTAAATAAAAATGTGTTAAACAACATAAATATAAATAAATAAATAATATAGAGAGAGTAAAATGGATGGTTTGACATTCTATTCAATATCTACCCCAACCATGAAGAGAATTTAAAATTTGCAAGCAATTATTATTTTATTTAAATATTAAATTGAAATAAAGTTGTCCAATTGGGCAATTTTATATAATTATCCGACATAATTTTCAAACCAAGAAAATCCCTCTCACCTTCCTATACTAACATCTCCAAAAAAAAAAAAAAAAAAAACTATTTTCTCAATATTTAATTAACATATTTATCAAATTAAAATGACATTAGACGTATTTATCAATTATTAATAAAAAAAAAAATTAATTTACTAAGAATCAATAAAATTAGTTACTCGTTTTCATTATTTTTTATCTTTAATTTTTATTTTTATTCTCATTCTAAAATTAAGAAAAATAATAATATTTGTTAATTAAAATTTAATATGTGAGTTTGGATCCCAAAATATTAACAATAATAATTAATAAATAAAAAAATCATAGTATTTGATATTCAATTTCTGTTTTTCCAGTCCAGGGAATATTATTGGTCCGACAAAAAGACTGTGTAGCGGCGCACGTGTGGCATGTTGGCACGTGCAGACCAGATGGAGGCTTTTTGACTACCAGACAGAAACTACTTTTAGTGGTCAGAATCAAATATGACAGGTGGGGTATTTTAGTCATTTACTCGTTGCAGCAAATTTCTAGCCGACAATTATAAAATAATTTCAAGCCTCCCTCAAATAATCCTCCTAATCAGTCATATACTATTTTTGTATATTAGAATTAATTTTTGTTATAAAATTTTAATATCATCAAATTAACCTCTATTTTATTAATTTTCTACTTTATTTGTCTGAAAACATAAAACAGTATTTTTAATAAATAAATAATAATAAATACAATTTGACAGTTTAAAGATAAGAGTCTGTAAGTGGTAGCTTTGAGTGGGAGACAACTCAGGGGCTCAATGGCCATTGGGTTTGTGGGAGAAAAATAAAATTTGCATACTCATTAAGGAAATTAATGACGAAATATCCAAAATTGAATTTACCAATTTAACCTTTAAAAACATTCTTAAAAAGGAAATGGATAATTAGGGGAAGGGCAATACCGTCATTTCAGATTAAAATTTAATCACGTGTATATAAAAATACGTGTCTTCCACTCTCTTCTGCCACCAAAATTGCCCTATGAAGAACCTTCTCAGAAGCCTCAAATTGATAAAATCATTAGAATTTTCAACCAAAAAATGAACTAAAAAAAACAGACTGCTTTTTTTTTTCTTTTCTCTCTTTTTTGTTGGTGTCAATTTCAAAGGTTGAAAGTTTCAATTTTCAAAAGCTTCAAATCCCACAGCTATATTAATACCTCTCCCATTCATTAAAGTCCAACCAGTTTCTCGGTATTTCTTTTCTTTTTTTCTTTTTTTTTTTTGTCTCTCCCTCTAATACAGATTTTACAATCAGAACTAAAATTGAAACTTGGTTGTAAAGATTCAGGGGAATTATGTACCACAGCACAAAAACAGAGCCGGATTTTGCTTATCTTGGCCCAATTCGCCGCCACTTGTTAGGCGAATCGGAGGCCGCCGGTCCCGTTTTCAACCGGACTGGTAGTTTCAGTAGCTTAATTCCATGTCTTGACGACAACTGGGGCGATTTGCCACTCAAAGTGGATGACTCTGAAGATATGCTTCTCGCTGCTGTTCTCGGGGATGCCGTCGGTGCTGGATGGGTGCCGTCGCTTGGAAGTTGCGATTTTGGGTTCTCGGCGGTGAAGTCGGAGCCGGAGATGATTCCTGTGAGCTATCCACCGGTGCAACCCAATGTGGCGGTGAGGCCGGCGGTGGTACCGCAAAAGGGGAAGCATTATAGAGGAGTGAGGCAACGGCCATGGGGGAAGTTTGCAGCGGAGATTCGGGACCCGGCGAAAAATGGCGCTAGAGTTTGGCTTGGAACCTATGAGACGGCGGAGGATGCAGCTCTAGCTTATGATCGGGCAGCCTATCGAATGAGAGGCTCGAGGGCTCTACTCAATTTCCCCCTCCGTGTCAACTCCGGCGAGCCCGAACCGGTTCGAATCACGTCGAAGCGATCCTCGCCGGATCTTTCGTCTTCGCCAAAGCGGCGGAAGAAGGCCACCTCCGCCGCCGAAGATGGAGGAGTACGAGCGGCAAGCTTTACACGTGGAGGGCAGATGTTTGTCAGCCAATGCTAACACATCTAGCCAATAAATAAATGGCTTTTTAAGGTGAAAAAAAAGTTTTATTTTGTTTGGATTTATGGATATATAATTTGTTAATATTAATATTTTAATTTAATTAAAAAATTGAAATTTAAAAAGGCCCAAACAAGGGACTCTATTTATGAATTGAAGCCCAATTACAATTGATAAGTCCACAAAGTAAAGCCCAAACTTACAAAATGGGCCTTACAAAATAAACCACATTACAATAGTCTACTTCGGCCCACCAACCATATGATTAAGAAAATGAATTTGGGCCAAAGCCCAAGTTCATTGAAGTCAAATTAATCATTATTAAAAGAAAAAGATATAATTTTACTTGACATTTAAATTTGTCAACTAAATTATATAAATAAATAAATAAATAATGTTGAATATCTAGCGTGGAAGACCCGGTTTCTGTGCAACTTCCATATATTAGACGTTGCTTTCAGTACCGTCTCCTTTGACTTCTCTCATCTAAATACATCCAAATATTAAATATTTATTTAATAATATTAAACCACAATCTTATTATCATATTCTTTTTGTATCACCAAAAAAAAAAAAAAAAACAATATTTATATTATTTCATATTTTTCTCATTCCTTGACTTATAAAATGAGTTTCATTTGGTTTTTTCTTTTGGATTTTGAATATCATTTAATAAATAGCGTTTAGATTATTTAATTTGAATATTTGTCCTTAATTATTAAACTAAAATAAATAAATATTTATTTATTTATGATCGTTCTCATATAATATTGTGTGATTTAGTAAAGATATTTAAATTAAAAAATAATAACTTAATCTAAATTAGGGACTTTTAAGTTCGAGAGACAACAATGTCATATTTTATTGCAAAAATGGACCTACATAGGCTATTTATATATATATATATATATTGTCTCATAACATAGAAAAAGAAAAAACAGAGATAAACCCATGGGTCATAGTCACACTCGGGTCGTTACTATAAAACCGGTGGTTGGTTGAAATGGGACATTAAACATACCATTAATAATTAATATATGAAGGGTCAGAGAAAGCTATGTATTAAATAAATGTTTGATTATAAAATGTCACGCACACCTATATATTAAAATATTTATTTTAATGAAATACAAAGTTATGGACCTACAACTAATTTACGCTGTTCCCATATTTTTTTATTTTTCTTTATTTTTAATTACTTTTCCACTCTAACGTGTCTCAATACCGTGTCACACGCTCTTGGCCTTCCGCCACTCCCCACCCTTATAACTCTAATTATTATTATTAAGTTATAAACTAAATATTGTTATAATTTAATTAAAAATCTTTAAATTAGAGATTTAGTTTTGTTATATTATTTCAGTTTAAATAATGCAACAAAACAAAAGGGTTTATAAGTAGAAAAAAACAAGTAATTTATTGACCATTATTCAAATTATTTAAATGGAACATTTTTGAATTATAGAACGGTATGAACATATTCGATCAGTTAAGCTCTAAATGTGGATGGGTTGTAACTTTAC